CAATTTTGAGATATTCTGATTTCAATCAACTATTTTACCTCCATATTGATGCTTCAGGTATTGAATTAGGAGCAGTACTTGCTCAACAAGAAGAAAAACAAAAACATGACATTGTGTATACTAGTAGAAGTCTAATTAAACCTGAGCAAAACTATTTTATCACTGAACAAGAATGTCTAGCAGTTATTTGGACTGTTGAATACTTTCATCAATATCTTAAAACTAATTACTGTTATCTGGTAACTGACCACTCTGCTCTCCAATAGTTAAAGATATTTGAACTCAAAGAAAGAAGAGCCAGATAGATTCTATATCTAGAACCTTACAACTATATTGTTATCTATAAAACAGAAAGAAAACATAACAATGCTGATGCCATGTTATATATATATATACTAAAAAACCAATCTATATGCTTTAAGATAATAATGATTGGAATTTTGATCATAGTTTTGCAACTGCTAATTCCATTACACCTTATAATTTTCATTAAGAAGAATTGTTATATAAAATTGAATAGTTAATTGCAAAAAGATACTGCCTTATCTGCAAAGAAAGAATCAAAGACTATTATACCTATATCTTTTATAACTGGTATAAAAAAATATCAGACCAAAACAGATATTCTTTCAAAAATAAATATATCTGTAAAAAAAAACAAAGAGCAGATAATATTCAATCAATAATAACCCAATCTATTCAAATTATTTTAGATGAAGTTTGTCCATATCCCCTTTTAAAAAAAAAATTTCAACATCAATTTTGTAATTATAACTTCCATCAAATTTCAAGAACAAGATTAAGTAATAAAAAATTTGAAAAACAAATCCAATTATTTGATGATTACTGGTGGTTATCAAAACTTAAACAACCTTCTAAATAATGTAAAAAAGAATTTAATAACTATTCTGAAAATTATCTTTGCAATTCAGTCTAGTGGACAGATATCAATTCTGTTATCTACTATTAAAATCTTCTTGAAGAAACAATCAAAAAAATTTGATGTAAAACAAAATCCAAATTAGGTAGTTGGTATCCTGGCATCCAAACTTTAACAACATAGAAACATAACAATATTACCAATTGAAAAATTATATTCTTAACAACAAACTACTAACAAATATAAATAACAATTAACAAAAATGTTTACAATCACAAAGCAAATTTTTCAAAATCAAAAACAATCAACTTTACAAGAAAAAAAACCTAAAACCAACTACTCAAAGTTATCCAAAAACATGAAATCAAAGCAATACTTTATTTGATGCATAATCACTTTACTAGTGCATACTTGGAAATTGATAAAACCTTTAAGAAAATTTGTAATTAATATTACTGGTTTCAGATATTTGAAAATATTGTTAATGTTAAAATAGTGAATCTATCACTTGTGACAGGTCAAACTTATATAATATCAGAATAGATTATTCTTTTTTTCTCTATTTGAGACATGGATTTGACTTAGCTAACCTTAAATTATTATACACACTCTTTTCTTTCTCTTGTTATCCTTTTTTAATAGTTCAAGTCACAAATCTCATTAGTGACTTTCAGAATAATTCTCACATGACAACATTATTTCAGTAGATGAGTTAATTAATAATTTTCTTTTTAAGCATATCTATCATACTACCACTTATAGTAACTTTTAATTAATATTTGCACAACCATTTTATGTTTCTACAAAAATGATAATTAAGTTTATTAAAGTTATGATTTTTTTATTTCTCTTTCTTATTTATATCACTATAACTATTAGCTATAGGATTATAACTTTATAATTCATAAACTACCAAACTATAAAATAAACTATCTAAACTTTTTATTATATCATAAGTCTATTTCTAAAGTATTTCCATTACTCTAATTAGGTACATTATACAAATATCATATTGTCAGGCCTTATCAAAGCAATTTTCCCACTAACAATATCAAAAACTATATCTGATTATATAATCAATGCCAAAAATATGGAAGATATAGAACACCAGGACTCTTGCATTCCATTCTTGTTGAAGAATCATTTTTCAGAATTAGTATAGATATTATAAGACTCTTACCATTGACTAAACAAGAAAACAAGTATATTATCATTGCAACAAATTACTTTATCAAATGGTCTGAAGCAGAAGCAATCTCTAAAACTATTGAAAAACATGTTACAGAATTTATTTATTAAGTTATTATCTGTAAATATAAATATTCAAAACAAATCATATTTAATAAAGGAACCAATTTTTGAAATAAAATAGTAGATGGATTACTTAAGCAATTTGAGATAAAACATTTATTATTCATCCCATATTATCCTTAAATCAATAGATTAATTAAATGATTTAATAGAACTTTGTATAAATCATTTGCAAAATTAACTAAAGGCTAGGGCTCCTAACGATACCACTTCGATACCACTTCGATACCAGTTCGATACTTAAATTTACTATAAAAACATATGAGTAAGTCACAGCCCATATATTAAATTTACTATAGATCGGTACCATTTCAATACCAGTTCAATACCAGTTTGATACTTTTTCGGAACCCTACTAAAGGCAAAAAAGATTAGAACCAATACATTTTGCCAGTATTTTTTATTTATAGAATATCAAAATAGTCTTTTATAAAAATAACACTATTTTATTTATTTTATGAACAAAAACCTCAAATATACACAGCAAATATGAATAAAATATTTTTTTTTAATGTTAAAGTAAGATATTACTTATGATCTTTATTAATAAAGTAAAAGTTTAACTTATTACATAATTAATACTAAGATATGAGTTATATAACTATAGATATTAACCTACTACCTATTAAACAAATATATTATTTGAAAAAATCTTGAGCAGAAAAAACCTGAAAAACTATTTATTATGAAAAAATAAAAAATAAAAAACATTTGAGCAAAATCACTAGCATTGTAAAATATTTGAATAAGAAAAAAAAAGGAAAAAAAAATTGAAACTTTTGTTAAATATGGTTTCTGAATACAATTAGATGTTTCAGTCAGGTATTGGCATTGTGCAAGCCATATGTAACTCAATAGATTTGGCTGTATAGTATTTTGTAATATTGTTGTTGTATGATATAGTCATATTGTAATATAAATAATAAGATAACTGAAATATGTTCCAGATATCTATTATATTGTTTTGGTGGAATGTTATATATTGTAATTACTGAAACTCGTGCAGGGTACTAATTATACACTCTCCCAATCCGATAAGTTGTTATATTATTTTGGTGTATGAAGATAATATAGAATGTGATTGGTGTTTTATGTGTTGTAGATCATTTGATGAGGTAAGCTGGTTGCAGTTTTTGTATTGAAATTTGTGAGCAAGGACTGATAACTAACCATAATATTAAGTAAAATCTAGCACTAATTATTATCAGCAGAAAACAAAAAAACTCTAAAAAATAAAATGCTGCCTCTTAAAAATGGGATTGTTTATGAGTTAAAGATGATAGATGTAATTGTTTTGTAACAATTATGTATAGAGATAACCTTTACATAGAAAAATTTTTTTTTATTCATCTTCTCTATTCCAAGTTATTGTCCAATACTATTACCAGTCACTAGACTTCTTAGCACAGATTATTTCTAAAACTCCAGGTGCCAATCTTATCCTTGAAACCCCACTGCTAATCAGTTCTCCAGTCTATGTCTCCTTTCTAAAGAACATATTTTGTTAGACAAAGTTCCTTGGAAGAGAGAAGCTTTTTAAAAAGGTAATTTTTTACAAATGGAGATGTGAAAAAGAGTTTTTTTTTTTTGTTAATATTTTTTTACATATACAAAAATAAATATATATAAAAAAAATACTTACATATGATTTATAAATTTTTAAAATAAAAATTATATTTAAAGTAATTTTTTTCTTTAAAAAATATTAAGACAAAATTATTAACTCTATAAATTTTTCTATAATTCTAAAAAAAAATTTTTTATTTAAAACAAAATTATAAATTTAATTTAAATTAATCTATTTTTAGATAATCTTATAAAATACTTGCTTAGTATTTTACTGTTTTAATTAAATATAATAAATTTTTGTTTTTGTCTCAAATACAGATTCCTACTAATCATATAATAAGCATAAGTCTTGTTTCAATAGTCACTTTTTTTATATTATTATAAAATAATACTGGAAAATATTAAATTATGTTATATTATTTTTAAAAAAAGTAATTTGGATTTGAATAAATATTATCAAATCCAAAAATATTATTATATAATTATATACAATATAAATTTTTATAATTCAAAAATAAAAATTTTTATTAAATTAATTAATAAAATAATCTTATATCAAGATACAGTACTAATATTTTAATAACAAATATTTATTTATTGAATATTAAAAAATGTGAATAAGCTTCTTGATTTATATTATTGATTTATACAATTTTTTATTATAATTGAAATATTTTTGATATGGTACTTTGTATTTTTAGAAAAGATATGCGTTTAAAGAGATAAATTTCCTATATACGTACTTGAAACCAAGCTTAACTGTGCATTTAAAAGATAAAATACTACATTTATAAAAAGTGTATTTTACTATGTATAGCAAAATAATAAGTTCGATCCAGTGATTCAAATGTTACACGACACATTATGTCATATATAGTGCAATTTTTTTTTGTTTAAAATGTTATCATTCTTTAAAATTATAATAAATACTTGTATTATGTTAAGCTTGTTTAATGCTTATTTAATAGTATCTCGAGACTCGTCCATTCATGATCATACATTGCAATGATTATTCACAAACACTGTTTTGTGAAATGAGGATAATATGAAAAATCGATAAATGTGTTTTCTCTTTATTTCAATGGAAAAACCATTTCGAATTTTCTGATATTTTTTTTGGCTTGATATGAGCGATGTCTACTATCATGGTTTAATAACAGATAGGAGTCACGAGAGTACCTTAAATCATTTATTATTCATTTACATGTATATGCTCCAAGGAAGTAATATTATCATTAAATTACGTAAAGCCACTGGATCTATCCTCACTGGAATAATCTTCATTTACATAATTGTTTAGTGGCAAATTTAGTATTGAGTCGTAAGATAGTGCACCATTTTTATTTTGAGTTTCCTTATCGTCTGGTGGAAAATCTTCACGAGGATCAAAGAAAAACGGCGAAAGTTGTGATTCTTCATGTGAAGGAAAGTTTAATTCGGAAATTTTATCGTGTGGTATGTGAGCATATGGTGCAATAGCGATTGGAATAGTTACTTCATGATACTGCATCTTTGTAAATAACCTTCCCATCTCAGACTGAATTACGCATCGTAAGGTGTAGTACACCCTTAGATGACGACCTTCGAATGTGGGGGGAACTTGATAAAATTTTGGAGGTATTGAAAGGAAAAACTCTAAATTTCCTGTTATCCGACCTCCCGTTGTCCCTATATCACATCGTTTATCTGATGAGACAAGCGCACGTTCGTGTTTCTCGCAAACAAATTCCGTATCCAGCGGGCCTTCATAATGTTTACGAAGAGAAATCTGAACACGCGTAATACGTCCATTAGAACGATTTGTGAGGGAAAGTGAAATTTTTATCTCTTCCCCTAGAAAGTTATAATCTCAGTAAAAATTGTGTTTTTTTTTTCGAAATAAACAATGTAAAAACAAATATTATCATTTACCAGGTGAAAAAACATGTTTCGGAAGTACAGCTTCTACCTCTATTAGTGAATTCATTTTCTTTTGCGGTTTATTGTCATAGTATAAAGTATCCCTGAAAATCCACTCTTCAGCCGGTGGCGCAAAAGATATTGGAATAAATAATGTCACAACTTCAGGACCTTCAACAAGGGGTCCTCCTGAGCCTTCTATTATTGGTTGCCAAATATAACGTATTGAAAATCCTTTAGGACCCTTAGATCGTAAAGATAAATTTTCTTTTAATAAAATTATTCAAATAATAAATCATAAAAATTATTGTTTACCTCGATCGATGGGGGGAAATTAACTGCTGGCAACTAAATTATAGACAAATAATCGAATGATTAAAATTATAACGACCCTCAATCTAATGTTTCCAAAATTGTTACCTTTAACGCAAAATCAAATCTATATATTCCTGAATTAAGCTCAGACCAAGGACGATATTCATTTGCTTTGAATGCAGAAATTTTAAAATCATAATTTCATCACACACATAAGTCGCTTTAAATTTAATTACCTCTCGGTTGACTTTCCAAAGCACTAGGCCAGACAACATAATTACGTTCGAAGTATATCGTCCGTGCAACATTCGCACGACGCATTGTCCCTGTTTCGGCGTCCTTTGACTTAACAGAAGCAATTTCTTCCCCTTTAAAAACAATTGTGATTTAAATAATTGTGATTTGAATAATTGATATAATAAAATGTTTGTTATCTGTTCTATATGAATCTCACCTCTAAATCTGATCTTAACTCCGGAAACCCATAATGACCTACTTCGCTCTGGTATTATGAGTACTACGGTGCCTGCAGATATTTGTATAAATTGAATAATGCGGCCAATGCAAATTATTCTTACCATTGTAAATTACCTCTTACAACTTGCTTAGGTTGTAGTATCAGGGTCCTTCCTACTTCGAATTCTACCTTCAACAATGGTGAGTCACCGGTGCTGTCTTCTTGATAACTATGCCTCATTTGGTCTTGTATATATAATACAGTGCGTTCGGGAAAATGTGACTTTAGTTAAACTCAGATTATGCCTTTGATGTATGCTATTAAAGAAGTGAATGAAAACCAAGAGAGAAATACAATTTGAAATATTATGAACATTTGTTTGCGTATCAAAATTTTCCAAATAAATTTGGATATATAATAACAATGGCACGCATCATAAATAATACATCCAGTGATAAATAAGTGTTAATCCATTTTTTGTATTAATAAATTAAATAATAATAATAATTTTTTATAGAAAAACTTGATATTTGATTGTATATTACAAAATATATATTGAGAAAAAAACCAAATTTTTTTATATTATTTAATGGGTTTAATATTGATATGCTTATATAATACATACAATATAATACAAAAAAGTAATTATTATATTTTTATTTATAGCTTAATAAATATTTTATAAATATTTTATAAATAACTTTACTTAATACAGTTTTAATCAATATATAGAAAATCTTTCTTAAATACAGTATCAAGATTCTAAATTGTATTAATAAAATTAAATATACTCTCCATATTCTAACAATATATTAAATTTTTAAAAGTTTTTATATTAAAATCTATTCTATTGTTAAAAATAAAAATAATTATATAAAAAAAAATAAACTCTTTTTTGATCATATTTATTTATTAAAAATTTTTCTTTAATAATAATTTTAAGCAAAAAAAAAAAGATTTATTTTTTTTATTATAAACAAATTTCAACTCAGAAACTTAAGAATCTTCAAAATAACTGATATAGTAAAATAAGACCTTTAATCAAGATCTATTTAAGTTTAAAAATCTTATTTATTTTTTATTTTTTTATTTTTTTAGTAGAATGGCATTAGATATAGATTTTATTATATATTCTTAAAATATTCTTATAGATTATATTATATCTATAGTTCCAAAAATTGGAATCAAACAAAATCATAATGAATCACATAAGATTTAAAACACTATTAAAAATGATAATAAAGTATATCCCATTTATTAAATTTAATATAAACTTGAAAATCAAATATAGAATTGAAGAGAATTGTTAGGATCCTTAATTATATCCAATATTTTCTATAATGCTATAACTATAGCTAAATGTTAACCCAACTACTTTTTATACTTGACAATATACTATTTATTCTTGAAATGTATTATATTGTTTTTAGAAGAACCTATCTAGGAGATTAAAATCCTACTACTAGTTTTAAACTACCTAATTTACCAATTTATTTTTGTACAGAAATAATAAATTACTACTAACTATTTCTATAAGTTACTTATTATATTATATCTTAACTAATAGAAAATAAGAAACAGTTAATTAGAATTGATTAGGATAAAGTATAATCTAAACTATATATCCAAATATATAAGGAGTCTTGATTAGAAAATTGAACAAGTGTTTCAACTTTACTTAATTCAATCACTATAAGACTGCTTCTAATAATTATTATAATATCAACTGGATAATTGTTACATCATAATATCTTTTTTGAAAATTACAATTAATGCCTACTGGATCAGCATGTAAATTGACTTTCTATGAGAAATAGTACATTTCAGGTTATGATGCCAAATACCATATTAATATTATTCAATTATCTTTACCTGAAATTAAACTGGTATTTTGTGATCTGATCAGTAAAATACTAATTACTATATTATATATTCACAAGTGTTGAAAATCTTATTTATACATTAATTATATAAAAAAACAATTTATATCGATATTATTATATTTACTAAATCAATTATCTTTTAAAAAATATATTTAAACAAAATTTTATATTTGTTGTTTATTTAATATAATTTTTATATATAATTTTATTATAGTGATACTTGTTATATCACTTTAGAATTTTTTAAATTTTTTGTTCAAAAAATTAAAATTAGTTTATTTTCTTTAGATAATTATTATTTTTAGTTATTTAATCAAATTTTATTAAAATATTAAAACAAACACTAAATTTGTTTAAATCTATTTTTTAATATAATAATAATAAATATTATTATAACAATAAATAATATCATATATATTTTACTATTTATATTAAAAAGAAATCAATATTTTAGTTTTTATTGTATTAAAAAAATTTTTTTTGATATTATAACTTTTATTTATATAAATTTTATAATTTAATTAATTTAGTTTCAATTTTAATAATCTATATTATTATATTTTATTTATATATATAGTATATATATAACATATATATAATATATCTTTTTTTATATATCTTTGATTTTTATTTTATTAATTTGTTTAATAAAATTTATTATATTTTTTTTATCTATTTTTTTATTTATATATTTAATAATTTTTTTTGAATTATTAATAATATACTTAAATTATTTTTCTAATTTATTATTATTTTTAGTTTTTATATTTTATTGGATTTTTTAAAATTTATAAATAGGTAGTTTTGATTATGGTTTTGAAAATTGGAATCAAACAGAATTATTAAAAATTGCATGAAATTTGGAACACTATTAAAATGATGGTAGGATATATTTTACTTATTAGTTTAATATAAACTTGAGAATCAAATACAGAATCAAAGAGAATCATTAGAATTTTTAGTTTTGATTTATTTCTATAATATTTACTAAAGATATAATATGTTGTAAAACTTTTTGGAAATTTAAATAATAATAAATCAAAAAATAAAAAAAAATTTTTTTATAAAAAATATATTATATTATTGTTATTATTAATCAATTTTATTTAAATTTGCAAAGTTATAAAATTTTATATTTTATTTTTAATATTATAAAAAAATAAAAAATTTATAGATTAAATTAACAAATTTTTAAATTTATTGTATTAAAATTTATGAAATTATAATAATTTTAATAAAATTTTTATTTATAATCAATTTTTAATACTTAAAAAACTTATATTATTGTAATTCTTAGATTTTAAACTTTATTTTAATATGTTTTTTATTAATATTTATACAATAGTTTTTGAATAATAAATAAATAAATAATTTTGAAAAGTTTTGCAACACATTATAATTATTAATAAATATATTGTATATTATAAATTTTTTAATATAACATAAATTTTAAAAAAAGAAAATATTATTTTTTAAAGCAATTGTTTAAGTTATATATTAATTAAGATATATTAAACATATTATTGTATAATAATTATATTATATATAAAAATAAATAAATAATATTTTTTAATAAAAATTTGTTAAATTTAAACTAATATATATTTTGCAATAAAATTAAATAAAATTAATAAATATTTGTTTAATTATAAAAAAAAATAAAAAAATAATAATTTTGTTTTAATCAAAACTTTAAAAAGTATTAAATGGATATTAAAATAATATCAAAATAATATTAATTTATAATAAATTCAATATATGAATTATAACTTACTTATATAAATTTATAGTAAATTTAAGTATCAAATTGATATTGAAGTAGTATTGTAAAACCCTAGTTGTAATAAAGCAACAATTATTTAAATAGATTTTTAAAAACTTTATACATATATTATATTTTGTAATATAGTTAAAAATTATTATTCTTTATATACAGTATATATAAACTTTAATTATTTTAATTGTTTATTAATTTATAGTTTTAATATATTACTTAATTTTTATGAATTATTAAATTATCATTCATTGAACTATAATAATAATTATCGATAATATGAAATTTTCATTTAAATGCATTCAGAGAGGTAAATCATAGTAGGTACGTCTGGGGGGTTCAACTGATGTAACATTTTTCTCATAACTCAAGCAGTTATTTATTTATTACGTAAATGGCTTGGTTTTTTTTAATTATGATTTTCTTTATAACTTTGATACGCCAATTTGCCAATATGGATGTAACAAATGCAATTAATTCTTTTCATCGATTTTGAACCGAAAAACAAGTTATGGAACTTGTTCAGGTGATGACTATTATTTATTCTTCGATCATTATAACTGATTGAAAAAGCTTCTTATTAAAGCAAATTTTCAATCAGTAAATGAAATTAATCCAGGAAATTGTTTTTTTTCACTTACATTATATTCATCACATCACACCAATTAATCTTAAAAACGTTAGCGCGTTAATATAACAATGTGATGTGAATCAAATATCATTCCTCGCAAAAAAAAGACATCAGTTGACTGTTGAGACAAATAGATCAGGACATTCATTATCAAAATTGGAGATTCGACCCGAGATACTATTATTAGAAGGGCTTTCTTTTGGAAAAAGAAATTTGAATAATTGCTATTACTATTTTGCGTGTTTGTATCAAATGTTTCTTTTTTTATTTGATGCGTCAAATCTATTTTCATATTTCGGGACCGTCATATCAAGGATTATAAATTTCCGTACAAATAATTGATGCTTTTCGTATTTTATAATCTATAACTAATTGGTTTATCGGATTCGGTCATCTATGTCGGATATCGTCGGATATAAGGATATACATGCGTATGAAGAGTCGTAGTTATTTAATTGCCTCACCCCGAGAAATCCTGCTCATGTTCTACCCATATTTGTCGCGTAGGGCTTATTATTGGAGTAACATCAAATGGAACCAAAAATGATCCATGCATGTAATACAGCATATTTGATTCTTAACATTGATTCCGACTCACTCCAACCTTCTCTTGTCTTTTTCCTATAAACCCCTATTTTTTTCTTGGTTTTGATAAATAAGTTGTTGATATTTATAGCATGTAAAAAAATATACTCTTAGATATCAAACCTTTAATTTTGAATATGAGTGGCTCAAGCACTACGACGCTTACAGTTTTATCGCTGAACTGCTGGTACGGAGATAATAATTGCCTTTTCTTAAATTGCTTGTTTGCACAAAGAAATTTCAAGAATTTTGTCTTCGTTAAATAATAGGGGTTTGAAATTCATCTCCAAAAAGCGGGAACAGCGAATGGAAGCCATCGCGGATAATTTGGCTCGCTCAGATTATGAGATTGTCTGTCTACAAGAAGTTTGGGTATATGCTAATTACGAGCTAATTAAAAATAGAACAAAAAAGCGATTTCCACATTCCAGATTCTACTACAGGTATGACGATCTGTGGTGGTTAGTTATCTTATTTACATAATCGAATTTATTCAATATATTTGATTTAGTGGTATTCTTGGTGGAGGACTCGTTATTCTCTCGCGGTATCCTATTGTCGAATTCAATTTTCACAAATACCGTCTGAACGGTCGACCAATCAAGTTCGTCCATGGTGATTGGTATGTAGGCAAAGGAATTGCTAGTGCGGTGGTTGACCATCCCGTGGCAGGATTAATTGAGATATTTAACACACACGTAAGATTCATTCGTTAATAAGTCATCATAGTTGGCTACTTTAATAATTGATTATTTAATTATTTATAGACACACGCAGGTTATGGGTCAAAAGACAATGACATATATTTGGCTCATAGAGTTTCTCAAAGTTGGGAGGCGTCAAATCTAATGAGAATATCAGCTTCAAGAGGCCGAAATGTTATTGCAGTAAGTTAACGACGTCATTATTTACTAGTGAGAATTGTCGAATTCAAATTATTTTCTCATTTAGGCAGGTGACTTTAATAGCGAACCAGATACTCTTGTTTACAAACTTGTAGTACAACATGGTCAGATGACTGACGCTTGGCAATCTCAGCACCCTTCAACACCGGGAAGTGTTTCTACAACATCCATTAACCAACAGACCGGACTAACCGGATTCGATGCAAACGCCGCAATTGCACAGAAAGGCATCACTTGTAATTCACCGATAAACACATGGTCTAAGCGTACTTTAAAACAAGCTACACGCGATCGGGACGCGGGGTCACGCCTTGATTACATTTTTTATCGTAAAACGTCGAGATTCTGGTGTAGCGGGTCACGTGTCGTTTTTACAGAAAAAATCCCGGAATTAGGCTGTAGTTATTCCGATCATTTTGGTGTGGAGGCAACTTTCACACTTGTTGGACGTGACAAAAATGCAGTCATTCCCCTTTCGATCTGGGAACAGGGTCCTTATGAGACTTTAAAAGAGTTAGACAGTCGCACACTCAAGAATATGATCAATCTATTCGACAAAGATTTGATCAGTTCAATGGCCACCGCTCGCATACAACTATTTTTGTCTTTTCTTTCTTTGCTTTTCGTGATTGGTATGATTGTCGTGGTGACGTTAATTTCAACACAGGTTATATCTACATACTTTTGGGTTAACATAATTATAATTGTATTAATTGGGCCTATCGCAATGTTTGGAACCATTATGGGATTAATTGGGTTTTTGTTTTGTAATGAGGAACAAAGAGCTCTTAAACTGCTTATCGAAGGGATTAAAACTTTTAATGAGGGAAAAAAAATTCTTGAAAGTAGGGAGAGTAAAGCAAGCAGTACAGGAGCTACTGGGGAAAATGGTAATAGCCAAAGGTCATCTGCCGCTGGAGTAAATGCGGAACTTGATCCAAAAGATACATCGTGATTGGTGGCGGTGGAAATTAATCTGATAATATTTTACACAAAGATTAGAAAAATTTTTGCTATCTTGTTAATTGGCAATTGTATCACTATCGTAATTTATTTATTATGCTTTCAGAATAGTCTGTCACTGTACTTTTAGGTTTCCATGCAATTTTTATCTGTAGAATTTCTAAAAAATCATATTTCCAGCCATCACGTGTACAATACATTGGTCATGAAGTTTGTGCTGTACCATAATTACGCAAGTATTATTCCTATCAAATATCGAGTATTAATTATTAAGAAGGATATGTTTATTGCTCTTATATTTATGAAAGAAATCATTAATTCGAAATTGAAATGACATTCATTTAATCATAAATGTTTATTTAATGCATTCCATGAATCACACGTGCTTATTATTTTTTTATTGTTCCTTTTTAAAAAAATTTTTTTACTCATTTTTTATTATTATTGTTATGCATTCACAATTATAAAAAATTATAAAAAATTTTTTATTTGTGTTGATAATAAATTTTAATCATGTTTTTATTGATGAAATAATAACAGTAAAATTTAGTCATATAACTAATTTTTTTAAAAATATTTTTCAAAAAAATAGACAATATTATTATTTTTTTATGATTACATCTTGTGATGCGATAAATACAATAAAATTTTACACGATTTAAAAAAATAACAGTTGATTTTTACAGTATCAATATTTCATCAATGTATTTTTTAAAAAAACTTTTTTTTAATAAAATTCTATCAATAATCATTTAAAAAAATAAAAAATTATTTTTACTTCTAAAATTTTTAAATATTTCTATAATATTAAAATTTGAATTAAATAATTGCCTTTGTTTTTTTATTTATTTTATTATTATTATTATCATTATTATTATTTGCACCATACTGTGTTGACTATAACCAAGTTTTTTTGGTTTAAACAGTACAAACCTTTTTTAAACAAATGTAAATTAACAAAAAATCTTACAAAATAACAAATTATAAGTTGGACTACAATAAAAAAAATCTAGTTGACGGGTTTCCTGCCAACCAATAAGAACATGGGTGTGAATATTCCTAAGCGCCCGCCTTCGACAAGGCAATCTCCAGCAGTCTCGAGTACGCGTTGTGTTTCAAGAGAGCCAGCAGGAGCGACTCCTACCTTTTCAAGACATCCAACCTTTACCATATTAAAAACATAAGAAAATTAATACTAAAAAAGCCAAAAAATTCAAAATTCTCTTGTCCATAACACACTCACCATGGCACGAGTGAAAAACTTTCCAAAACTAGTCATACGAAAAACTGTGAAAAAGTCCCAAAATGTCTGTGCATCACTGAAATTACCCTCAAGTGGGTAATACCACGTGACAAAATCATCATTGACGGCCAAATCAGTAGCTACTTCTACCTCAAACCCAACATTTCTGAGTGACTGCTCAGCAACTTTCGTTGAAAAGAGTTCAGGAATGCCATCTGCGTACTAAAAACGATCAAATTATCACAAAGTATATTCTCACAAAATCATCGCAATATTTGGATATTTCAACTTTGCTAACCTCGACTCCGCGAACAATTCTCCTGTGTTCTGGATTGGTGGGATCGTACTTGTCGGTTGTGCACCATTCATAAAAGGCAAACTTGCCGCCAGGTTTTAACACGCGAAAAGCTTCCGCGTATACACCTTCCAATTTTGGAGCATGACAAGTGGCTTCAATAGCGTAAACCGCATCGAAAGTGTTCTCTGCATAAGGCATATCCATGAAGTTACCCTTGACGAAGGATAGTTTATTCGCGAGTCCACACTTTTCGGCGCTACGACTTGCGCGTGATATTTGGTAATCGTTATTGTTGAGACCCGTAATATGGGCACCTGTGAAATTACAAATCTCACGCGCCGGTCCGCCTGTAACGATAGGAAAATCCAATTGAAATTTATGAAAGGAAATTTACATTACGTCGAAACGAAAAAGTAACTTACCAACACCACAGCCAATGTCCAACAATTTCATGCCAGGTTTTACATTCAATTGCATGGCCAAATAATGTTCGTGCCGTGCGATGGCTTGATAAAAATTTTCGCCACGATAAAATCGACAAAAATGAAAACATTCACCCCATCCGTACTATGAAGCGACTGTATATGTAAGTGTTTACTTGAAGATTTGTTCACAATCACGATAAGGGAATTCATCGAACATACCTCGTAAAAATCTGTGGCTACATTATAATAAGAATTTGTCAAATTGGTGTAATTTTCTTTTCTCTTTTGTTTGTCTTCTTCTTTTTCGGCCATAGGATCTTTAGCAACCCAATAATCCATGTAATTATTTACCACTGTTTCGTATGCTTCCCGATCCTTTGAAAGTATGGATGAAACCAATCCTTTACGATCATGTTCGTAGTCATGTAGAATCTTTGAGAACTTCAAGTCTTTTTCCTGAGTCTCTTTTTTTTCATCCACCGGCGCTACTGGAACTACTGGAGAGGTTAAAGGTTCCATTATTGTTACGTATATGTGTTGTTAACTTTCCGAATTATCGCAAGAATGCTTAATGTTAAGAAAGAATGAACCACGATCCAGTAACGTAATTCGATAGAACCGGATATTAGTAAAATAGATCTTTTATATCGAATCTATTTTATGTATGGCACATGTTATTCACATTCCTGATTTTGATTAAAAGAGATGGAAAAAATCTTGACTATTATTGCTATTACATACTATTCCGTAGAATATGTAGATGTTCGAATTGTAAATTTATTTGAATTTGAAACGGGGCATTTGACTTGCTCCGTTAGTACGCATGCAACGTAAACTCTTTACATGTAGCACGAGTCCTATATTCTCTATACATATGAACTCTTTTTAGACACAGTGTTGATTTTGATTTAGAAGATCTGTGTGGTGACAGTTTCTTAATAGATACTAATTTGTTACGAGATTTGCAGTGACTTTTCATATAAATTATAGAAAAAATAATGAGATAAGAAGTTACTGGTTTTGATTCAAGTATCCCTATATTGTGCGACTCAGAGGAAACGGAATACAGGACAAAAAAATTTTTTTATGAACAAAAAGTTTCAAGGTTTACTCCACGTGGAAAGATCAAATGTTGCATTTCCCAATACATTTTACAGACTTTACATAATTAATTTAGCGAGAACATGCAAATCATTACATGTTTTCACATGAGTAATGCATAAAGCGCTTACAAAATTTTTTTGAATGTTCAAAAACACTGATTTAGAAATGACAATAAACACGTCCATTGTCTTGATCTTACTATGTATACAATAACCTTCAAACTCATCATCACTTCACTTACCCTTGAAAGTTTTAATTAAATTTTTAATAAAAGAATTCATCACGTGATTGAAAGGTGATTTCAGACTTCAGAATAATTAACAGTCTCATGCTTGCTTCGGACAATAATTATGTAAAGAGTAATAAATATAAAGAAATTCTTTGTAACGTATACAATTTTTTATTTATTTATTTATTTTTATTAAAACCTACTAAAAAAATAGAATAAAATAAACATTTTAAATAATTTATATTTACATAATTAATATTGTAATCAAGAAATAAGCAGATAATTATCATCATGTAATTAGTCATTGCTACAATACTGTTAAAAAAAATCAAATTATAATATATCAATAAATAATATTAAATAATAAAATAATTATAAAGAACTTTGGTTTTTATTTGATATTATCTAGAATATGTAATAAAAAAATAATTTTATAATGATAGTATATCAAATTACATAAAAATATTATATTTGAAAAGTAAAATTATATCAAAAAAAGTATATCAAAAAATAAATAAATATAAATTAGTTTTCTAATATTATTTATAACAAGTTTATATAATCAATTTTTTATTAAATTTTATTATTAATATTGTTTTTTATAAATTATTTTAATTTATTAAAAATTGTTTTTTTATTATAAATAAATATTACATGTATTTTTTTTATTAAAAAATATATTTATAATAAGTATTAATAATATTGTATATTAATTATAAATACAAATTTATTGTAATTTAATTTTGAAATTCAATTTAATATGTTTATATAATAAAAAGTCATAGATTGATCAGGTTTAATCTAGGCAATCAAGAAATCTATTAAAATAATATAGAAGTTAGATATTATTTTAAATACAATCTGTATTTTTCAAATTATTAGTAATAAAAAATCAATGAAAGATTTTTATATTATAATAAAATAAAATCTTTAAAAAAAATTTATTATAATTGTCTATTAATATCAATAATGACTTAAAATAATTAATATTAAAACTAATTTATATAATTATTATAAATATTAAAAAAATAATTTATTTAAATTTGTTTTTTAATTTTTAAAATAAAATAAAATTTTAATTAAAAAAAAAAATTATTGTTTATTTAAGAAAATTATATAAATTATATTAATATATAAATATATAAATAACAAATATTGATTTGGAGTAAAAAAAAAACAATAATAATAAATATTAACTCTTTTTTTATTAATTCTTTTGTCAATTCAAAAAACAAATATTTCAAAAAAGTTATATATATGGGTAATTATTTTCGAAGATGAACCAGAAATTTTCTGGTGTAATTCTAAAATATATACTATATATGTATTGTTTAAAAATTGGGTCCGAAAAAATCATATCTAGCATTTTTGTCGCCTTCAAAAATAATTTTCCATATATTTTTTAATATTATTATTATCTAGAAATTTTTTTTTTAATTAATTTTTAAAATAAATTTTTTGTATTTTTGCAAATAAATACAAGAAAAATTTATTTATACATTCAAAAGCAAAAATTTTTTGTTAGAAAAAAAAACTTAAAAAATATTTTTTTTTTAGAAATTTAAAACTTTAAAAAAGATAAGTATAAATTTTTAAAACTTTTCTTTATTTTTTTCAAATCTTTTTTTTTATATTTTTAAATATATAAATCTTTTTTTTTATTTTTTTAAAAATTTTTATTTATTTTAGTTTGATTTTGAATTTTGGATTAAATCAGAATTTCTAAAAAATAATTGACTTGAAATTTAGATTAGTTAATATAACATAGCAAAAAATATAAACAAGATATATAAATCTTATATGTTTTATTTTATATAATTTTTACCTAATAATATAATTGATTATAATAAAAAAAACAAAGTAATAGGATATGCTTTTTAATAAAAAAAATAGTTTAATATTTTTTCTTCTTTTTTTGAACTAATTTTATTTTTTTTAAATCAAAGAAAAGCTTATTTCTATTTAATAATAAGTTAATTCTTTTTTTTTTAAAAAAAAAAAATTGCAAATAAATATTAAATATAAGACTTTTATTAAATAAGAGTTTATAGCCATTATATTAAAGATCTTTACATAAGTAAGTTATTTAATTCTATTGTTAATTATTTTGAAAATAGTTAAAAAAAGAAATCTCAAAACTATTTATTAGTTCAATAAAGTTATAAATTCTTAAAAAATTAGTTAAAAGAGAAATTATTAAATAAGATATTAATTTTCTTTAAAGATTAAAAGTTTTTAAGTATAAATTTTTAAAAAATACTTTCTTGAAAATATCTTTAAATATTTTTGATTAGCAATAAAATAATAAAAATTAAATAAATATCTAACTACAAATAATTAAATTAGAATTTGTTTAAAAAAAGTTTTTTGTTTTACTAGTATAAATTTTACTTTTTTTTTTTTTTTTAATGTTAAGTGAGGCATTTCTCACGATCTTTATTAATAGAGTAAAATAATAATTGTTACATG